CTTTTATTTTACAACGATTTTTTGCTGTTCGACAAAGTGTATAATATTCGTTCGATAGAGCTCTTTCTGCTCTACGAAACTGTGCTAATCGTCTTTTTGAGTGATTTAATTTTTTATTACTTTTGAGGCTTAGAAGTGGAATATCCAGGAGGTAAAAAGCAACATTTTCGAATGTTGTTCGCTCTCTTCTTCGCTTTTCATCGAGGCCAAAAAGCTGCCGAAGCAGCCCGGCACATTTGCAACGTATACGGAGAACGTGTCATAGGCGAGTCTACAGCACGGAAATGGTTTGCGAAGTTCAAAAATGGCGATTTTGACGTCGTCGACACGCCCCGCAGCGGAAGACCTTCTGAATTCGACGAAGAGCGTCTCAAAGCACTTTCGAAGGAGGACGGTCGCCAAACAAGTCGCGAATTGGCCGATAAAATGAACTGCGATCATAAAACGATTCTCAATCATCTTCATTGAATGGGATTTGCCGAAAAATTGGGAGCCTGGGTGCCTCACGAGCGTAAAGAAAACAACAAAGAAAATCGTCTTTGATAAAAACGCTACGAACTTATTCCCCAACCCAATATATCAACGAAGTTTTATTTAAAAAATGAATATTTCTTCTCTATATTTGATACGAAAATTTTCAGTAAAAAATTTCTCTTCTTCTGAAAAACAGTCTGGACTTGGCGGTGTGTAAACTGGAAATAAATAGTTTTGGTCCCCTAAGGGTTAATTTATCCTTGAAGAACAATTCCCGATAATGACAGATTAAAGCGGAAATTCTACAGCCACGTGTTTCGCTCGCAAATGTTTAAACATCCCTCAAAAGTTGATTTCTCATTCGCATTTCTCACACATTTTCTTCAGATTAAAAAGTGCGAGAGAACCTATGAATCATGAATAAATGATTTTAATGCCAGATGAACACTTGTAAGCGAGCATGTACGGAATTAATTGACGATCTGCGACTGTCAAAGGGGATTATTAACCCTTTGCACTAGCTATTTTAACCGTAAATCTGAAATAATGTTTTTGACTTATAGTATTTTCAGTTTTTACGACAAAGCGTATTTTATGCATATGGAATTTTAACGATTTTTTAAATCTACACTTTGTTCACATGGAGATTGTCTTAGAACGTGATATAACAAATTTCAGTGGCGCCTCTGAGTCACCACTCGAGTGCAAAGGGTTAACATCGTCCTGTGATAATTTTAACACGTTCCGTGCCGAGCTTTTTTTACTCGAATCTTCACACTTTGATATTTTACTAAAACTTGATGTATTACGTGCAATATTATTAAATCTCGTACACATAACAACGTAACAAAAACTTATCAACGCCTATTCTTGCGGTGGAAATTGATTCTTCGGTTCTAGATTTCTTGTAAACAATTTGTTCAGTTCACTAAGTAAACATGCAAGCGTGTACCATCGATGGTACACGTGGCACGGAACGTGTTAATATCATTTCTAAAGATCAATTCCCAGATCAATTCGCATAGATCGTCCAGCCATTCTACGGTCAGAGTTCAAGGGTAGAGAAGTTCAGTTTCAACAGCGTAAAAACTGGCGTCGGTGTCAATGTCCCTTGTCCGAGCGGAATGTTCTACTGTCAGTTCCATAATAAGTCGGTGTTGCATCGAGTTCAAGGCCGTTCGAGGTCACCGATGCGTAATGAAGCGATCTCGAGTATGCACGTCGCGTCGCGAGTTCTTGCAACGGATGCTCGAAAGGTTCGACCTTGAACTTACGCGTAATATCCGCCTCCAAGGTCACCGTGTAATCGTGCCGCAGCCTCAAACGATAAGTAGAACACTGTACCTACTCGAACCGCGGAAGTCGATATTGGTCGTGTGTGTACCCTGTCAAGGCTGGAACTTTCAACAATATCGATATGCGAGCTCGAATATGGTTTCTGCTTCTCGAATCGGCCTGTATTTTCCGGACAATTTTCGAATTTTTGTAATATCGATTTAATAACCGTTTTTATCAAAAGATATAGTATTAATAATAATAGTAATAATAATAATAGAAACGTTATATAAAATCTCTCTATTTGTTATTACTTCTTTCGTAATAAAAGGTTTTTCTATCTGTATACGAGAATAAATTAATAATAATGATAATGATAATGTTCCCGATATATTTTGCGGACAATTTTCGAATTTTTGTACTATCGATTTAATAACCGTATTTATAACAAATATAGTATTAAAATCATTATATGTTAAATGCATTAGAACGAATCATCTACTGACAACAAACAAACAAATAGAAATGTTATATAAAATCTCTCTATTTGTTATTATTTCTTCTGTAACAAAGAGTCTTCTACCCGTATACGTGAATAAATTAATAATAATAATAACAACAACAATGTGACCGATGTATCGAACCGTAGAAAAAATAAAAATGTATAAAACACGCCGTTACATCTCAAAAATGATCTCAACCTATAATTATTTCGGCCACACTGTGGGATCGCAAATGATGTTAAATGCATTATAACGAGTCATCTACTGATAACAAACAAACAAATAGAAATGTTATATAAAATCTCTCTATTTGTTATTATTTCTTCTGTAACAAAGAATTTTCTACCCGTATACGTGAATAAATTAATAATAATAATAATAATAATAACAACAACAATGTGACCGATGTATCGAACCGTAGAAAAAATAAAAATGTATAAAACACGCCGTTATATCTGAAAAATGATCTCAAGCTATAATTATTTCGGTCACTGTGGGGTCGCAAATGATCTGTCTAAATTCTAACTTTTTAGCAGCCAATGAGAGCTCGAGAAGAATGAACGTCGATCTCAGAGAAGCGGGTTTAAAAATGTATCGGAGACAATTGATACGCAAGCATTCGAGTGGATCTTGATATCGATCTGGTTCCACGGGGTTAATCCCGTTACGAAGAAACGTATTCATTCGTCGCAAATGGCCAGCGATCGGGGAGAGAATTTATACGTCTTCCCTCCGGTATTTCGCGTCACAGAAAACAGTTTTATTAATGAAACGCAGGGCGGCGACAGATAAAAGGTGATCGCGTCGATAATCTCATTCTATATCCATCGCCTTTGTGCATCGATCACTGTATTGTTAATCGTGTCGATCCGACCACCCCCTCCCCCCTCTGGTCCCGTTCCTTTAAGCCCTGTCCGCGCCACGATTCGCTCGCAAAACAATCAACTCTGAATCCAGAAATCTTTACGCGTACAACGGACACCGAGTAACAATGGACAATCCATACTCCGTGGTTGTTTATGCAAATTTTTATGGACCATATTCAACGCAACGCGATACAAGCTTCTCGCGCGGTCGCTCGTTTTTACTGCGAGAATCATTTGCGTGCGTAAGAAACGGCCGACGGCTGCAATAAGTTTTATCGTGATTTTAAAGGTGTTAAAATGAAGGATCCGCGATGTTATGCAGGAGGTATTCATAGACGTAAAAACGTCGTAGAACTTCACTTGCCGTGTTACAGGTGTTTAGCGAGTCCGTAACAACACGTGTATAGTGTGAAATCCTCCTAAAATTCTCGTTCTACCGAGATTTGCAGATTACGAGCAACCGTAAACGCATAGAACTGCTGCGCGCGATTAAAATCAGGCGAAACATTGTTTCAGCAGTTGCTGTGCTGAAAGTAATGGTATTATCACTTCCGCCGGTATATCAAATGACTTTTAACACCGGCTCGATGATCCAGAATTGATTGAACACGTGTCATCGAGTCGTAACGTTGCACGAAGGACTTCAAAAATCGCTTTGTCGAGAAAAGCGATTATTTCAATTCCAGAAATACGAGACCCATCTGTTTGATACTTTTTGTCATTATTGTGATTTGCATCGCGTTTTCTTTTCCCCCCTAATCTCTTTTTTCTTCTTTCCAAGGTTACGCACAGGGCATTTACGTTTATTCCAAGAAAAACGCACAATTCCACGGGTTCTTTACAAAGATCGCTTCGCGGTGTAGAAACAAAACGGCTTTCTCGTTAATCGATGCTCGGTTTGTGCACGAAAATGCACAATTTGTGAAGAGAAGATACGATTATTCGAGCCTCGTGGCTCGTTTTTATAATTGTCGAGAATCGGCAACTATAAAAACGAGCCGCGAGGCTCGAAATAATCGTATCTCCTCTTCTCAAATTGTCCATTTTCGTTTACAAGCCGAAGAAAAATTGAAGAGAATTTACTACATTCCCTAATTTAAAGTTCTAGGAACTAAGATTGCTAGGAACTTTGGCCAACTTCAAGCAAGAAAATATCATTGACAATACATAATGGCCGGAAACGGTGCACTGGCCACGATCGGTGCATCCACCCTAATGCGCAAGTATCTAAATACTTATGCACGGTGGTGCACACATCAACGGTTCCGCCGCTATCGAACTAATCAAGCTTCGATGCTCGGATTGTGCACGAAAATGCACAATTTGTGAAGAGGTGATACGATTATTCGAGCCTCGTGGCTCGTTTTTATAGTTACCGATTCTCAACAATTATAAAAATGAGCCGCGAGACTCGAAATAATCGTATCTCCTCTTCTCAAATTGTCCATTTTCGTTTACAAGCCGAAGAAAAATTGAAGAGAATTTACTACATTCCCTAATTTAAAGTTCTAGGAACTAAGATTGCTAGGAACTTTGGCCAACTTCAAGCAAGAAAATATCATTGACAATACATAATGGCCGGAAACGGTGCACTGGCCACGATCGGTGCATCCACCCTAATGCGCAAGTATCCAAATACTTATGGCTATGCACATCAACGGTTCCACCGCTATCGAACTAATCAAGCTTCAATGGCATAAGATCCCAGCCCGCTCTCCGCATATATTTAAAAGCTCTCGCAGCTCGAGGTCCGAATCGTCGAGAGCCCGGGAAGCACTCGAGGAGCAGCGGAGCCGAGAGAGCGAACTCGCGGAGCGGTGCGGCGCGGAGAGAGAGAAAACAAGGAAATAAATTAGCGGAGGAAAATTAAAAAGTTACTTACCGCCGAAGAGCGCAGTCGTATCGAGCAACGGATTGGCCTGGTCCGCCTGGAGTTTGTCGGAGGCGGAGGTGGCGCCCGGAGTCGCCGTGGCCGCCGCTTCGCCTCCGCCACCTCCGCCGCCTCCGCCCGACGCGGAGTTCTCCTTCTCCATGCCAGTCCCCTGAAAACGTGCATCAGCGTTTCGTTAAAGCCGTTAACTTCGTACACCGCGGCGAAACGGTTCCGTTTTAAATGGCCGCTGAACGGAGACAGCCGCGGAGAGAACTGGGAAGAGAGAGATAAATAGACACAGAGCGAGGGAGAGAGAGAGAGAGAGAGGGAGGGAGAGTCGGACGAAACCAGAGGGGGATGGCGAGGGTGAGGTCGGCCACCGGTGCTCCGGCGGCGGCGGTGGTTCAACATTTTTGCCGGGAAAACTGATGGGAGCTCGCGATCAGGGAGGAGGAACTCTGTGAGAAAAAGGAAACGGTGCAGCTGACTGCTGTGAATTTTTTTGGACCGGGTTCCGGGATACAAGCAGAGTTACCGGCCCGGATATTAGATCCCTGTAACCCCGTGTCCTGGAGGTACAACCCCGTCCATAAGCATCTGGACAGTTATAATGAATGAGTGGCATGCGATATGAATTCGTGCTATAAAACGATGCGTGTCGGCGAATACGAATTCGGATATATGTATGTATGTATGTATGTACATACATTGTACTCGGTAACAGATTGTAGCGTTGGGTGTGTATTTGATTGACATTGAGTATGTAACTAACGTCTGGCAGAGTCGAGCGATTCCATTATTTCGGTGATTTCAGTAATTAAGGGTTGAATAGGGTAATAGAGATGGACCGAAGGGTGGTACATGAATCGTGCAAATAAAGAGACTTAAGTAATATGATTACACACTTAATTGAGCGACGATATTTTCAACTTTTCACTTCTTTTATAAACTTTTCTTTCGAGTATATATTTTATATGCGTATCCACAATTTGATTCGCATCTTGGATAAACAGACTATGCTGATTCGAATAACCGAGACTCCGTTGCAAATTTCAAAGTATCTCGGATAATACGGAGCCTCGATTAACACTAGATTTACGGAGCACAAGAAACAGCTGTTTTATTGTTACTTTAATAAACTAATATAAAACAGCTGTTTCTTGTGCTCCGTAAATCTAGCGTTAATCGAGGCTCCGTATTATCCGAGATACTTTGAAATATGCGACAGAGTCTCGGTTATTCGTATCAGTATAGTCTGTTAATTCAAAATCAGAATAAAAATGTCCTATTGTTACTTTAATAAACCAATATAAAACATTTATTCTGATTTCGAACAAGTGTTATCGTAACATTTGCCGTAAGTAACATATAAATTGAATAAATAACTTATAAATGTATCTTTACGATATGAATAATCGTAAATTAAAAAAATTCATTTCACCCGTTGTATCGACGAGTTCCGTAAATCTAGTGTTAAAAAGGGGCTCGGATCACCGAGGTTTCACTGTAGATCGAGACAGAATGAGAATTAAACAGAATAACACAGAACGAAAAAGAATAAAATAGAACGAATAGAATAACATAGAATAAAATAGAATGAATAGAATGACATAGAACGAAATAAAATTGTAACAATGACCGAGGAATTACGAAATATGATACGCGGAACCGGAAATTACTTGTGCTCGAACGTAACGCAACAATGATCGTTTGAAAGCATCGCGAGCAGCGAGCGGAGCCGCAGAAAAGTTTAGGCGATACAGGAACGAACGCGGGCTCTGCTGTCTGTTTTCCAGGGGTGGAGCGAGGAAGGGACAGAAAAGTAACGGAAACGAGGGAGCATTTTTGCCGGGGAAACTGATTGGAGCTCGTGACAGGGAGGAGCTGGAAAAACGAAATGGCGGGACTGACCAGCGCGAAGTTTTTTCCCGGAATGGGGCGGGGTGGTGGGCGAAGGGGGGGAGGTATGGGGGGCGATTGAAGATCGGTGGATTTCGGGGGTGAGTTATACGTCGAGGACGCGGCGACATATTTTCCCGGTTTGCCCGGTTTCCACGGCGAGTTTTTCGCTGGTCGCGATCGAGCGGTCGACGAAATAATTGTCGGGAAAATGCCGGTAGCACTCGTCCATTCTCGGCGAACACCGGTTACCTAAATTTCCAGAGCCGCCGGGGAACTTTCCGCGTAAACTCTGCCATAATCCGGCCGCGTTACGAAACCCAACGGACCGCGCGGACTTCTTTTTCCGTTCGTTCGCTCATGAAGAGGCGATTTAAATCTACTCTCGCGGCGGACCTTGAACTTTCGCGGATCTGCCGCCGATGCTGCTGCTGCTGCAACGAAGAAAAAGGGTAGCAAAATCGTGGAAAAGGTAAAAATCACGCTCGACAATGAACGTAGGTTGGACGAGCGCCGAGCGGTCGAGATCCTGTTATTACCGCGAGGAAAGAAACGGCGAAGCGGCTCTCGTCGCCGATAAACATCGAAATTCCCAGAAGCATCGAGTTTAGGGGAAACCGTCGAAACCGAGCGAGAGGCATTGTCTGCGCAACGTCTGGATTCCAGTTAATTATGTTAATACGTCGACGCGTTGTCTCGAATCTCGTCGCCGCGTTTCTGCTCCCCACCCACGCGGCCGCCGAAGGACGGACGGAGAAAGAGGGAGAGAAGGAAGGAGAGGCGGAAAAATCCGCGTTAATATTTCAGTCACGCGCATACGTAAGCACGTCGGTGTCTCGCATGTTCATTCGATGACTGTTTGCCAGCCGAAGAAAGGCTTCCTCGAGCGCTTTAAATAAAGGCCGTTCTCCCCTCCAACCGGCATTCCCCTCCAGCGCTTCGATCAGCTGACTGGCACACCCCTACCGCGCCGCCAGCTGTTGTATAAATATACATGGTTGTAACGTTCACTCGGGTTAGGCTGGTGCTAGGCTAGACACCGTTCCATAGCCACCGGCACCGTTATCACCGCACCGCGGCCACCATCGCATGCAAACTGCACTCGTTAATTCGGCGTTTTAGCGGGTCGTCGCGTTGTTTATCAAAATCCTACGATTTCAACGTTGCCGCCTCACTTTACAATGTTAACCCTTAGCGCTAACCCTTGGCTCAGCTATGGAGACATCCGTCATTTCTTCCGTGAATCCGAAGGCTCTGCTGCAGAGCCCAATGTTTCTAGCATGATTACATCGAAGATGCTGTGTTTTTGTCGACGTCGGCAATTGTTATTTGTAGCGAAAACATGCTTAGCGTGTGTACCACTACGATTAAAACATTTTTTGCCCATTTTTATACTTAGCATCATAAAATGAGTAAAATCAAACGCTTTCGCAAGGATGTGTAATCTTTTCCGCTCAAAATAGGACTTCCTTTATCTCAGGCGCTTTGCTCCAAAAATGTGTCGGAGTTGTTGGTAGCGATATTTTTCAGAAAAACGCTGTTCAACTTCATTTTAGAACGTCCGAAGAATATTTACTAATTGTTAATTTAATTTAATTATTAATCGAGCCGATTCCAGTGAAGATTAACAATAAAAAATTCCGGCAAACTCGCGCAAAAGATATGTTTGTTTCAATAATTCCGTATCCAAACAGAATTCAACGGACGATTCGCGATGCTAATTTTATAATAAATCGCGTCGAAGAACACGAGGGATATATTTATTTAAGAATTGCGAAGAATATCATTAATAGTAAATTTACCCATTTCGATGAGGATGCATTTGCTGCTTGGAAATTTCGGTCACAATTCACGATGTCGATGCACCGACCTCGCACTATGTTAAGTAGATACCATTACGATTAAAACATGTTTTGCCCATTTTTATACTTGGCAACATAAAATTAATAAAATCAAACGCTTTCGCAAGGACGTGTAATCTTTTCCGCTGAAAATAAGACTTCCTTTATCTCAGGCGCTCCGCTCCAAAAATCTGCCGCAGTTGCTGGCAGGTAGTACTCGAGAAACGCGCGAAGCGCTAAGGGTTAAATACTTACGGCAGAAGAAGAGAATTTTTTTTCGAATTCAACGAACAGTGAACGCTCAAACTCGACAGGTTATTACTGGAAAATTCGCATCGCGAGTCGGACTCGACAAAGTACGGCAAGGGGTTAAAGCGAATGCGAAACGGTCCCGACGTTTCCGAGACATTCTGCTGAGGAGTTAAGGGGCCGGGAAAGGCGGCTGTTAGCAAGCAGAATACCGCGGTAGCGGACGGACTCGCCGAACCGTGTTAAATTGTAAGAATCCGAGGAATTTATTAAATTCGGATTCCCTAAAACGATGCCGGGCGCGAATCAATTCCGTCCGGCATTTTTCAGCCGTTCTTTTTTTTTCGACCGTTTCCCGGTCGAGGGTGCCACCTGTTTCCTGCATGCTCTGTTATTACTCCAAACATTGCTCGATTGCGAATCGCATCGACGATTATTTCCCTGCGAAGGGAACGCGACGAAAAAAATGCCATATAACCACTTGACGCCTCGTTTGGAAACGATCTTTGTCGCGTTTTCAAATTAATTCAGATTCTTTCATCCCCTTTACGCTCGCCCGGCCTTCGCGATGCGTATTTTATTCAGCATCCTGTTGCAAATATTTTCGGCGTTGAGTTCGAGGATGCGATAATCGCGGTTTTTCTTTGGTAACAATCTCTCATGTGCATTCTAGGTTTATTTGGACAAGTGTCACAGTATTCACTTTGCCAAATAGAGTTACTAGGTATTTCTTTCAAGTTTAGAACATTTTCCAATTCGTCCGTGAGAAATAATTAAAAATATCGTATCGGCTGTTCAATGTTTGTAGGAACTTGTGGTCCAACGACCTGTGGCAATACACTAAAAGGTATTCTACCTGGAATATGTAATTCTTCCGTAACATCGCGCCATTCATCCAAGTCTTGTAACGAATCTTCGCTTTCACTTTCAATAATTCTCATTCTTCGTCTCTTTGGTAGTATAATTTCGCTACTACTACTCGAAGCGTCAGAATCATGACCAACATTGTCTTCCACAATGTCTTTTAACTCTTCAAAATCAAATACATCTTCGGTATCACTCGGCTCTAAATTATCATCATAATATTTATTTTTCTCCATGCTGTTAACCATAGAAAAGGTCAAAAAATGGTTTAATCGTAATGGTACAGACTTAGCACGTTTCAACTACAGATAACAAT